AGAAGTGCTTCCTTTTATCCACTCTAACCGAACTGCTCAACAATTTCACTGGGTGCCCACAAGTTCTTGTATTGTGAAAAAGGGAGAAAAGTACTTCTTTCTCTACCTGTTCTATCCCACACATAGTCTTGTAAACCTCTATCATGTCACCCCTCAGTCGTTGTTTCTCCAAGCTAAAGAGCTCCAAGCGCTTCAACCTTTCTTCATAGAGAAAGTGTTCCAACCCTTTTATCATTCTAGTTGCCCTTTTCTGCACTTTTTCCAATGCTATAATATCCTTTTTGAGGTATGGTGACCAGAATTGCAGACAGTACTCCAAATGAGGTTGCAACATGGATTTATACAGGGGCATTATAATACTGGCTGATTTGTTTTCAATTCCCTTCTTAAATCTGGCTATTGTACTACCATACAAATGCAGCTCTCCCAAGCATACCTCCACAATAAAACCAGAACCACATTTATAAATGAATGTGTCATCATCAACAGCAAAGCCCCATTTTGCTTCCTCCGTCTATTTCATCCTCTTTGTGTCACAAGCTGCTTCCTCCATGTTTGGTTATACAACTGACTCACATTTCATTAGGGCAAATATTCCACAGAGAAGGTGGGGGTGAGTATCCTTGTGCTCATGAGTCAGATGTTTTAAGGAGGAATTTGAAAATCTCATAACTTTAATAGTATATTACAGGGGTATCCATTTGCATGATTACAGCTCTTTTCCCACACAATTAAAGTGCTTTATCATGACCTTCCCATTGCCCATTTGCTGCTCCCCCCCCCCCCGATTAATAAAAAAAAACATAGTCAAACATTTAAAAATCAGTTTGAGATGTTGAGGCTAATGCCATTTAATGTCTCTCTGTGTTTTTGGTGTTGTCTCATGATTATAGGGTTGCCAGCTCTTGCTTGGGACATTCCAGGAGATTTGGGGGCAGAGCCTTGGGAAGGTGGAATCTGGGGAGGGAAGGGAGCTCACATGTTTCCATACAGACTATCCTCCAAAGTTGCCATTTCCTCTCCTCTTTTGCCTGGAGCTCAGTTGTATTCCAGAAGATCTTCAGCCATCACCTGAAGGTTGGCCATCCTAACCATGAACCCAGCTAATCGTCCAGTCACTGTCAGTTTTTGCAATCACTTCTTGAGACATTGTTGGCTGGGCAAGTGCAAAAAGCAGAATGGTATTCATCATTTGAAGTATCCATCTGACTGTGTAGATACAGACAACTGGCAACAATTTTGGATGTTTAACCAAATCAGTAATGAGCTGAATGACCATGACCTCAGGTGATTCTGTCTTTTCTCCAGTAAATGTCAAAAGCAGCTACAGGTTGCAGTGAACAAGCTGTTACTGCCCAGGGCCAAAGCTTCTTGGCATGGGACTGTGATGAATGCTCCCTGGGGACCCTTAGGCAATCCAGTCAAGAGATCACCCCATGTGTAGACTAGCTTAGGGACTTCAAATAAGGCATGTTTATTTGGCAAGAATGTTTGCAGCGAAGTCCTCACACCTTAGTATTTCTTACATGAACTTGCATATTTATAATAACATTTATGGTTAACTGTCTCTGTGGAGATTGTCTACTCCTTTCTGATCAAGCAGCGGACAGATAGGACTTGCAGTTAGTTGTTCCATATCCGGTTCTAACTGTCGCTTCTTGACCCTTATACAAGTTTCTCCGGAGACATGTGAGGTGGTCTGGTACTCCCATCCCTTTATGGACTTGCCATAGTCAGTTGTAATCCACACAATCAAAGGCTTTAGCGTAGTTAATGAAGCAGAAGTAGATATTTTTCTGGTACTCCCTTGCTGTCTCCATAATCCAGTGAATGTTGGCAATTTGATCTCTAGTTCCTCTACCTCTTCGAAACCCAGCTTGTACTTCTGGCAGTTCTCTATCCACGTACTGTTGAAGACTAGCTTGTAGGATCTTGAGCATGACCTTGCTAGCGTGTGATATGAGTGCAATTGTGATAGTTTGAACATACCTTGGCATTGCCCTTCTTTGGGATTGGAATGTATACTGACCTTTTCCAATCCTGTGGCCACTGTTGTGTTTTCCAAATTTGCTGGCAAATTGAGTGCATTACTTTAACAGCATCATCTTTTAAGACTTTGAATAGCTCAGCTGGGATACCATCACCTCCACTAGCTTTGTTGTTAGTAATGCTTTCTAAGGCCCATTTGACTTCACACTCCAGGATGTCTGGCTCAAGGTCAGCGATCACACCGTCATGGTTGTCCAGGACATTGAGGTCTTTCTTGTATAGTTCTTCTGTGTATTCTTGCCATCTCTTCTTAATTTCCTCTGCTTCTGCTAAGTCCCTACCATTTTGGTCCTTTAACATGGCCAGCTTTGCACAGAACGTTCCCTTGATTTCTCCAGTTTTCTTCATGAGATCTCTAGTCCTTCCCATTCTGTTGTTTTCCTATATTACTTTGCATTGTTCATTCAGGAAGTCTGCATTCAGTTGGGTAAATCTTTCCTTTTCACCTTTGCCTTTCACTTTCCTTCTTTCCTCTGCTATTTGTAAAGCCTCATCAGACAGCCACTCTGCTTTCTTGCATTTCTTTTTCTTTGGGATGGGGGTGATTGCTGCCTTCTGTACAATGTCACAAACCTCCATCCATGGTTGTTCAGGCACTCTGTATATCAAATCTAGTCCCTTAAACCTATTCTTCACCTCCACTGTATATTCATCAGGGATGTGATCTAGGTCAAACCTGAATGGCCTAATGCTTTCCCCAACTTCCTTCAGTTTAAGTCTGAATTTTGCAATGACTAGCTCATAATTTATAATATAATAATATAAAATATAACTATAATATAATAATACAAAATATATCTATGGCTTTTCTTCAGATCGTATAAAATATATCTATTAACATTGTATATAACTATGTTATTAGATTACTAAAGTACCTTTGCACATGTAGGATTGTCTCTTCCTACCACTCAAGCCCTTATCAATCTGGAGTAGGGTTGCCAACCTCAATTTGGCGCCTGGAAATCTCCTGGAATCACAACTGATCTCCAAATGACAGAGATCAGCTTCCCTGGAGAAAATGGCAGCTTTGGAGGGTGGACTCTATGGCCTTATAACTGGCTAAGGCCTCTCCCCTCCCCAAACCCCACCCTCCCCAGGTTCCACCTCCAAATTTCTAGGAATTTCCCAACCCAGAGTTGGCATCCCTAATCTGGAATTAAAGGAAGAGCTTCCCTCTCTGCCTTTACCTCAGCACAAGGCACACTTTCACAAGATTGCCAACTTGTTCTCCTCCCAGCAGTCACCCCATGCTGATACGAAATTTGGGGGGAACAGTTGGAAAGGACTGGCAATTAAATAGTCGAAAATACCTTTTCGGGTTGCTCTTTTGGCAATTGTTGGAAAAGGGGTGTTAAAGAATACCATTCACCTTGCCAGATATGCTCCCTCAAGCAAAGCACAACCCTTGCCAGAATATGCCAGTTTCTTTATATTCTGAGTCTAGTCATAGCATACAGAGATGGATCCTCTTTTATATTTGAAAATAAATTAACCTTTAATTAGTTTCTTCCCTCTTAGGATTTACCTGTGTCTTGAAAATGTTAAACAATAAGCAGAAAACCATATCTGTAGCTGAGAGCTAGATTTATATGCATACTCACCTCAGCCCATTCAATGCCTAATCCTTGTGCATATAAATTTTATCCTTGCATGTATCACACGGAAACAGGAAATATGCAGTTCAAAATGTTAAAACAGAGCACATTTTATTAACAGCAGAAGCAGTAAATTAAATCTCCTTATAAGCTGAGAGTGAACATTTTTTGCTGAAGTATTCCTGACTGCTCCTTTAGTAAGATACAGGCTTTTTTTAATTTCTCAGAGGGCTCTTTTCCCATTAAAGGCGAGATCTGTATTAAAGCAGTAATGAGTCTTTTACATAGCTGAACTACAAGCAGAGAAGATGCCCTAAATTTCAGTCGTTCATTTTGGAGCTATTTTAAGCTTTGTGTTGGTAAGGGTGCCAATTAACTTCAAGACTGGGACACACATACAAAAATAATGAATGGCTATCATTTCTGTACACGAAGGCCTAATCCCTGTTTTCTGTGATATAATTTACATAAGTAGGTAGCGTTTGTTGCCTGATCTAGTTCTCTGAAGGCTGTGCTTCTTCTCTTTTTTTGCTTTTTTTGCCCTTTTAGTTTCTCTCAGAATGCCTAATCATGGCTGCAAGAGTACTAAAAGGTAATGAAAGAGCAGGTGCTTTGCAAGGGCAATCATATGTGTGACTGACATCCTGGCACCCTGTAAAACTGCTGAGCATGAAAAGTCAGAACAATCTTGCCACTGAAAAGGTAAAATGGCATAAGTGTGTCAGCTCTCCTTTTGCACAGCTGGTATCGAAATATCTACTGTGTAGATAGGTGCCATTTGACTGCCTGGCACACCAGATTTTTCAAAGGTTACAAGCAAGGTCCAGCATGCTGCTTTCCTTAATGAAAAGAGTTCTGTGTCAAATCAGCAATACTGCTATGAGGGCTTTTCTCCCCAGCATATCACTCTGGCCAGATGTCACTTAGCAGGTGTGTCTACAAAATAAAGGTGGAACAGTAACCATGTGTGCACTTATATGAATGGTATACCGATGCAACGAACAAGAAATTGAGCAAACTCCAGAGGACGGCAGAAGACAGGAGGGCCTGGCGTGATGTGGTCCATGGGGTTGCGAAGAGTCAGACTCAACTGTGTGACTGAACAACAACAAATCTCAGTGTAATATGCCTGTCTAGCCTGTACACATATGATAACTAAAGGTCATCTATGGAAGTCATCTTTATTTCTACCCTTAGTACCTGATAACTGGGTATATTTTTATCTTGCACATCAAATAGCTACCCCCCAAAAAACCCAACCAACAAATCCTTTTTACAAAGGAAACTGGGGTTTTTTATATGTTTTCCCATATATTTTATAATGTTTGTTTTTCTGTCTGTATTTTTCTGTACCAGTGCTCCGAGATGATTTCCGCCAAAACCCCACAGATGTTGTTGTAGCAGCAGGAGAACCAGCCATTTTAGAATGCCAGCCTCCTCGAGGACATCCTGAGCCCTCTATCTACTGGAAAAAAGACAAAATTCGGATTGATGACAGAGAAGAGAGAATCAGTGTAAGTTCTTCCTACTAAAATGGGAATATCATGCAGGATTGCTTTTAAAAATTCACCAATTAGATTTTCAGGAGTATTAGGAAATAAAAAATATCATAAAATAAGAAAGATCAAGATCTAGTTTAGAACACTTTGTATAACCAGGGGTCTTTTTGTAGAAAAAGAGCTGCAGGCGCTCATTAGCATACGGTATGCTAATGAGCTACTAGGCTATTAGCATAATAGCTCATTAGCATATGCAACACCCCCTGACATCACTGAAAGCAGAGGAGGCCCGTCGCCTCCTCCCTGGGGCCGCCTCTAACCAACATACTTTTCAAATAGTCTTTTGTATGTGTTGTTAATGGTATTAATCCCTAAAATGCTAAAGAACACTTTTTCTTTGCTGTCAAGTCTTTTTACCTCCACGACTTTCAAAAAGAGAAGTTCAGAGATGGTTTGTCATTGCCTTTCTCTGTGTAGCAACCCTGGTATTCCTTGGTGGTTTCCCACTCAAATACTGACCAGGGCCAACCCTACTTAGCTTCACAAGATCTGATGAGATTGGGCTAGCCTGGGCTATACAGATCAGGGCTAAAGAACACTACACAACAAAAACTGAGTTTGGGCATAGCTTCAAATGGGAAAAAAAAAAAACTATCAAGGTGTTATCAAGCGTCTCTCAGCTCCCCGGCTGCTGAACATTTCTCCACAAGCAGGAGAGCTCGGCACCGCGCAACCATGGTCCTAGGCCTGGCGCACGACACCCTATTGCGGCCAAGAACAACATTTCTGGCGCTCCAGCCCATCACTCTCCTGTGGCTTGGGGCGCCGCTTAAACCACCGGGAAAGACAAGCCGAATTCCCACCCGCTGGGTCCTTCCCTTTCCGGTACAGCACTAGCGTAAAGGAGCGGGGTGAGCGGGAGGCGTTTCCCTGCTTTGCCGCAGCGGGCTTTCGTTTCGTATTTGACTGCAGAAGCGAAGGCGCTTGGGTGGCAGCTCTCAAGAATGCCTTTCTATCGCAGAGGAGCGAAGAGGAGGCCCGTCACCACCTTCCTGGGGCTCGCGCTGGAACGCAACGGCCCCAGGGAGTGAAGAGGAAGCTCGAGGGACCCGGGGGCAGGGCTCTCTGGGCCTCCCCCAAGCCGCAGCGCTCTTGCGCCGGCTTGGGGGATCCG